TTGGCCCATTTCGTCTAGTTTGCTTTACTGAATGGTTGTTCTAGAGTTCTTTGTATATTCTGGATATCAGGCCCCTATCTCTTGAGTAGAGTGCAAAGATTTTCTCCCACTCTGTTGGTTGCTTTTTTTTTTTCCAAAAATTTTTTTTATTTTGACAATCTTTACATAGTTAATTAGGGTAAAAAGGGTCAAGGGCTACAGGAAAGGGGGTAAGACTATTATTTCCATATTGTTTCCTTCTTCTATCTGAGGTAAAGGGGGATATTGAGGGAGAAGCCCCACCCAATTTTCCACCCACCCCAAGTCCCACATGTGGGGCATGCTCTGAGATATTCACTCAAGTGGTTTCAATAGTTCACCAGTTATGAATCTCTGCCAATCTCGCCATTCCAAACACGATGAGGTCGTTGAAAACCCTACTGATTGATATTGTCCCTCATAGCATCTCTATTTGCCCGGTATTTTGCTGCCAACCTATAGGTGAAGTGGTTGATTAACTTGTTCCATCTTCTGTCCTTTCATGGTTAGGATTCTGAATCCGGCATTTCAATTGGGGAGATCGCCAAAGAAACTTCATCTGAGGTGTTCCCAGGCCAGATTCTTGTATGCACCAGCAAGTACAGGCCCCAGCACAGTCCATCACCCCGGGCAGCTGGTGGTTGCAATTGCTGGGTTGGTTCTGTTTTCAGCCCCACCTTCCACTGGAACCAATGGGTGTTGCAGTCCAGACTGGTTCTGCACAGCGCATACTCGGCCCTCACATAAACCAGTGGGAGCTGCGGCCTGGTGAGAGCGACTCATGATAATCCCCACCAGGCAACCCCCTACCCTGGTTAGCCAGTATGTGTAGCAGACCAGTCCAATCTGTCCCACATCTCCCTTGGCTCTCATACTGTTGGTTGCTTTTTTACTTTTTTAATTGTTTCTTTTGCTGTGCAGAAGCTTGTTAGCTTAATGTAGGCCCATTTGTTTATTTTGGTCTTGATTGCCTGTGCTTTTGATGATTTTTCTAGGAAGTCTGCACCAGTACCTATATCTTGTGAGTATTTCCTACGTTTTCTTCCAAAGGTTTAATGGTTTCTGTGTGTGGGTTTAGATCCTTTATCCATTTAGATTTGATCTTCATGGATGGTAAAAGGTGTGGATCTTGCTTCTTATTTCTGCAGGCTATTAGCCAGTTGTCCCAACAGCATTTATTGAAGAGACCTGCCTTTTTTCCTAGACTGTTTTCTGTTTTCTTATCAAAGATTAGATGGATGTGCATACGTGGGTTCCCTTCTGATGTTTCTATTCCACTCCATTGGTCTTCCTCTCTGTTTCTGTGCCAGTACCAGGCTGTTTTGATAACTATTGCCCTATAACATGTCCTAAGGTCTGGTATTGTGATCCCTCACACTAGGTTCTTATTCGTCAGGATGGTTCTGGCTACTGATGATCTTTTGTGTTTCCAGACAAAGCTTTGTATAATTTTTTCCAACTCTATGAAAATGTTCTTGGAATTTTGATTGGAATCGTATAGAACTTATATACTGCTTTTGGTAATATGGACAATTTGATGATACTGACTCTGCCCATCCAGGAACATGGTATATTTCTCCACTTTTTGAAGTCTTCTTCAATTTTTTTAATGCTTTGTAATTTTCCTCATAGAGATCTTACACATCTTAAGTTTATTCCCAGGTATTTCATTTTCTTTTGTTATTTTGAAGGGCGCCATGCTGGTTAGTTCTTTTTCAGCCCTGGAGTTGCTTGCATATACTTAGGGCTGTTGATTTCTGTTCATTTATTTTGTGGCCTGCTACTCTGATAAACTCTCGTATAAGTTCTAGCAGTCTCTTTATTGAGTTCTCCTATGTATAGAATCATGTCATCTGCAAACAGAGATAGCTTGACTTCCTCGTTTCCAATTTGAATTCCTTTGAGTTCTTTTTCATGTATAAGAGCACTTGCAAGTACTTCCAGTACTATGTTAAAAATCAGTGTTGATAGTGGGCATCCTTGTCTGGTTCCACATCTTAGCAGGAAAGCCTCCAATCTTTCTCTGTTCAGTACGATGCTGACACTGGGTATTTCATATATTGCCTTGATTATATTGTGGATTATTCCTTCTATGCCTATCTTTTCTAGACTCTTTTAGCATGAAATGGTGTTGGATTTTTACCAAGTGCTTTCTCTGCAGCTATTAAAACTATCATATGTTTTTCATTCTTCAGTTTCTTGATGTGATGTATCACATTTATAGATTTGCGTATGTTAAAACATCCCTGCATATTAGGGATGAATTTCACTGGTCCAGATGAATGACCTACTTGATGTATTTCTGTATTCTGTTAGCTAGTATTCTGGTGAACATCTTAGTGCCAATATTCATAAAGGATATCATCACTCCATAGCTTGCTTTCTTTGCTGTGTCTCTATCTGGCTTTGGCATTAAGATGATGTTGGCCTCATAGAATGAATTTGGAAAAACTGCCTCACTTCCGTTGTTTTGAAAAGTTTACGGAGAATTGGGGGCAATTCTAGCTGGAACACTTTGTAGAATTGAGCGGTGAAACCATATGGGCCCAGGCTTTTCTTCGTTGGGAGGGCTTTAGTTACTGACTTGATCTCTGCCTCTGTTATACGTTAATTTAGGTTTTCTGTTGCTCGTGATTAAGTTTTGGTAGATGGTAAGAGTCCAGGAATCAATCCATTTCATGAAGGTCTTCTATGTTGTTGGCATATAGTTATTTGTGCTAATTTCTGACTATTTCCTGTATGGCTACAGTATCTGTTGATACGAACTGGTGCAAACTGGGGACCAAATCAGATGCAGTATTATGGGCAGTGGATTAGCTACCAATGCTACTCTGCTGGACCCCAATTTACACTAACTTCAAATAGTATTTGTTTCTGGCATTTTATTTCATGTTTTTCACCTACTTCATTTATTTTTAAATATCCACTTATTTGTTTGCTTGGTTATCTCAAAGGTAGAATTACAGAGCAGGAGGAGAAAGGGAGAATTATATAGACAAAGTGACCAAAAAAGAGACACACAGAAAGACAATGAATGAGTATCTACCACTGGCTAGTTCACACCCCAAATGGCCACAATGGCCAGAAGACTAGAGTTTCATTTGTGTCTCCCACATGGATGGCAAGTACCCCACCACTTGCGTCATCCTCTGCTGCCTCTATAGGTAAATTAGCAGGAAGCTGGATTGGGAAGTGGAGTACCCAGGACATGAACTGGGGTCCATATGGGCAGACAGGCCAAAGCAAACCATAGTGCAGACAGGAGCCAGGAGCTTTGTCCAGGTCTCTCCCTTGGTTGGTAGGGACTCAGGTACTTGGGCCATTTTTGCTGCTTCCCCACACCTTAGAGAAAGCTGGATCAGAAGTGAAGCAGCCATAAAACACCTAGGGGATCCTGGTGCACTGCTAGCAATCTTACTTGCTATGCTACAAAACCAGTACCAGCAATTCACTGCTGCTTGAAGCTAGCAGTCTTAAAGTTTTTAAAGAAAATTTCTAAAACTTGAATTCATATTCTTACATATTATGAAAAGTTTTTATTGCTAGCGCTTATGGTGGAAAATGGAATAAAAACTATGTAATGGAAAACCCCCAACAAGCCAAAACTGTAGAGACCCACACAAGAACACACAATTTCTCCATGCCACCTCTGTTGCATTCAGAGCTTTCCTATTTTGGACCCAAAGCTAATCTCAGTGGGTCAGGCTGAGAGCCACGACAAATACAAAGCAAACTGCACTTGTGACCATATTAAGACTTGAACAAACTTAAGCTCCTCCACAAAAATGACTTACAGATGATGTTAAATGATGACCCTTGATTTTAAATATTTAGAGTAGGAAGTATACATGAGACTTTAAGAGACATGGCAATAATTAAGAACTACTGAATTTTTTTTAAAAATTAAATACTTACATTTTACGTTCCAAAGTGGGAAAACACGTATAATACTGTTTTTCAAATACATTACATTTTTTATCATATCAAGAAAGCGAAAGTAAGAAAACTGGACAAAAAAATCCACAGCATTTGAGTCTAGAAATTCTATCTGCATTCTTCTTTCACATACTAAGATACTAAAATTCATGGAAATTCAGCGAAAAAAACAAAACAAAAACCTGTAAAGTTAGCAAGCTAAATCGGTGGCAATTTATTAAACGATCAAAACAATCTGTGCAAGTAATCTAGGATCATTATACAGAAGTTGCTAATTTTGATTTGAATGTTCTGGAAAAAATCCATTTATTCTCATAATCGCCATAGCCAAATAAGTATAATTTCACAACAGGCAAAAGAACCAATTTGCATGCAGAGTGAGTATAACTATGAGCAAAGAAGGAAACGGAGACCAAGGGCACCTTTGTACACCAATTTCATAAAAACAGGGAATGTGCCATCATTCCACTATTCTTCCTTAAGCTTAAGTGTCAATGAAATGGGTGTGTTAAAAAACAAAGTGAACAGACTGGAAGATTGTAACCACCTTAAGTGAGTTTAACATTTGCCAAAATACACAAAAGCAACACTACTCATGTTGATTCAAGCATAAGCTAAGCACAGAAATGAGACGGGTTTAGAAGGGTATGAGGAAAGTTTTGTGAGCGCTGAATATGTCAATTATCTTGATTATCGATAATTTCATGGGTATTTACAAATGTGGAAACATGCCAAACTGTTTTGGTCATCTAGACTATAATGTTAGTTAGCAGTATGCTTTTGAAAACAAAAAATGACCAGGGGAAAAATGCCCATTTTTATCCACCACTTGCTATCTGAAAGGCAGAAATGGACACAAGTTCAGTAATGGTGGCCAGTTATAATTAACAGCAACAATCTTGGCAAACGGGATAGTGCAACAGCCTGGAACACTCCAATGAAGGAGGCCGCGTTGTTCCTCAGTCTGTGCCCTATCCTGGTGCAGAATGCTCCTGGTCTCCATTTCCAAAAGGATATATGATGACAAAGAGGATTTGCAGCCTTACTGTACTTCTCTTCCTTGCACCTCTGCAGAATCTCTAAGCTCCTCTGGTGGACTGGGTGTTGGAGAAAGCTAAAACTATCCACACTTTTCAAAAGTGTACATGGCGCTGTATCATCATGTCCTTAGGAAGCAAAAGAAAAAAAGGGGGAGAGAAAAAGACATTACATAAGCCCAACCAAGAGAATCAAGAGTAATGCTGCCAACTATCTTAACCATGTTTAAAACAGTGTCAAATAATAAATCGAGAATAATTTTCCAATTATGAAAAATTGAAACTCAATGAAATTCCATGAAAAGGGTAAATAAAGGACCCTTTTGCATATTCAAATTCTCCTTTTAAATTATCAAAATACTGAATTTTACCACCACTTAAATTTTTAAATTTTAACTACTAGGGAAATTTCAAAAACAGCTTGTATGATTTGTATTTTCCTAAATGGGTCTGATATATATCATTAGCATGTAGTTGGCAACACCACAAGGAATACTGATGAGACTCCAAAGAGAATATGTCCAAAACAATTTACCACAAGTTTAAACAATTCTTTCACAGATTCTGCAATTAACCACACTTGTAGGCATCCCAACAAGTGTGTCACTGATGTGTGAAGTGTGAAGGCAAGCGCCAGAGCAGGAAACGCAATAGCAGTTCTGTATTTACACATCTGAACGCAAGGGCAGCTTACCACCACTCAGCCAAGTGAGAGAGAAATCCACTGCCAGGAGGAAAGGGAAGCAAGTACCCAACTCCCAGATGAGTGCGTTTGACACAGTGAGTCATTTGAGCAATAAGGGCTGGGTGACATGGTCAGTACCATCAAAACCAGCAATAAATGGATTCAGAAGAGAAAACAAGGCTTTGGGGGATGCTGTGCATCATTAACATAGAAATCACCTCCAAATTAAAGCACATTGCTCACATTTAAATAAGCTTGCCTTTAAGAAACAAAACTACATAATGTAATAATACACAAATTAAATAATACAAGAACAATGAACTAAAGCTCCCCCAGTGAATTTTACTATATAATTAGAAATGAGATACAAGGGAACCATCTATGAATGGATTTTAAGTCAGAATCATTTTTTAAATGGTAACAGCTTATTAAATTTCATATCAAGAATCCAATTAAAAACACAACTATTTGGCAATAAATTATAAAGAATCAAGAGCTCTACAAAAGGGAGAAAAGAAACAAACATTCAACACATCCCCCAATGAACATATGATTTACTATCTTCTAACATGAACTTGAAAATGTCTTACAAACACATGATCACTCCATACAGAAAAGATCTGGGAAATATCAGTTTTTGTTCTTAAGGAATAATATCAAGATGGAAAAAGCAGTGAAATTGGAGGATGCCATATAATGTGTTAACACACAAGCAAGTCCCAGCTCATCCAATTAGGTTAGCAGTTAAATCTCAGCATACTACCCTCAAGGAAACTAAAAAATTCAATGCCATTCTCCCTTCACAGGGTTAATAATTCTTTTAATTACGCCATAAAAGAAGGTTGGTTGTTGTGATTTTACCCAAATGTGAACCAAAATTAGGGAAGAATAACGTTCCCATCCCCAAATTCATTCATTCATTCAAGCTCTAAACTAGTTTTAAGACTGACTACCCAGTGAGCGGTGGACCCCACCAAAGAGGAAAGGGCTGTTCAGTTCAAAACATGAACCAATAAAACAAATATACGCCATAATACACGACATTACGCTTTAAACAACTAGACAGCATTTCATTACTGTCCACCTATCAAGTTAACAGACTCCTAGGACATGCACCCTTAATGCTGTATCTGAACCATAACTGTCAACGCAATGACAAATACAAACCTGCAACAAAAGAAAACTCACCATTAAAAAAAAAATCTTAGTGCAAAGACGGGGAACTGAGTGTGAAGAACTATCACTAAATGTCTGAGGATAGAATTTTTGTTTGCAGAAGTCACCATGAGGAGAGAGATACATCCAGCTAAGACTAACCAGAGGACTGAACAGAACACGAAAAATCATTAAAAAAAAAAAACAAAGAGGAGGAGAGAAAAGAAGGGGGAACAAAGGCAGAAAAACAACTGTCACGCACACCGAAAATGAAAAGAGGCATGTGCATGTAGTTCTCTTCTCTTCTAAACTTTATGTTCCTAACTAATCTCTAATGTAACTGGCACACAGGACACACTAGCAGGCAACAATAAGCATGGACAGAGATGAAGAACAGGGGGATAGAAACGGGTGCAATGGCACAACACGCTAACCCTCGACCTGCAGCACTGGCATTCAATATGGATGCCAGATTAGAGTCCCAGCCGCTCGAATCCTGATGCAGCTCCCTGGTAATGCCCCACAAAAGCTACAGAGTAGGCCCAAGACCTTGGTTCCCTGCACCTACATGGTAGGCCAGCAGGAAGATCTTTTTTTTTTTTTTTAAAGATTTATTTATTTTATTGGAAAGGCAGATGTACAGAGAGGAAGATCTTCTGTCCATTGATTCACTCCACACAACGGCCGGGTGCTGCACCGATCTGAAGCCAGGATCCAGGAACCTCTTCCAGGGTATCTGACATGGATGCAGGGTCCCAAGGCTTTGGGCCGTCCTTGACTGCTTTCCCAGGCCACAAGCAGGGAGCGGGATGGGAAGTGGAGCTGCCGGGATTAGAACCAGCAACCATATGGGATCTCGGTGCATTCAAGGAGAGGACCTTAACCATCATGCTATCACACTGGGCCCAGGAGGAAGCTGTTATTCCCAGCTACAGCCCAGCCCAATTCTGCCATTGTGGGCATCTGGGGAGTGGACCAGTGGATGGAAGATTCTTTCTCTCATTTTCTCTCTGCAACTTACTTTCAAGTAAAATAAATAAATCTTGGAAGGAAGAAAAAATTTTTAAAAAGAAGAAGAGGAGAGAAGGGAGGGAAAGGGAGAATGTGGGGCTAATCCATTGGTCTGATTGTTTCTCATTCATATCTCATTCATATCTCATTCATATCTGAAAGCCTTGAATTCTTGCTAATAATGCCAGCAGTTGGAAGGTTATACTGTAGAACACGGGAAAGTAGGAGAAATTCCTTTCAAACTTAGGGTGTGATTGTAGATGCTCCATTCCTATAGAGCTGCCTGGAAACTGCAGCTGAACGACTGGATGAGGCAAAAACACTGAAGAGTTTCAAGACTGCCTTGTATTTTTTTTTTAAAGATTTATTTTTATTATTTTTTTATTGGAAAGGTGGATATACAGAGAGGAGAGACAGAGAGGAAGATCTTCCGTCCGATGATTCACTCCCCAAGTGAGTGCAACGGCCGATGCTATGCCGAACCGAAGCCAGGAGCCTCTTCTGGGTCTCCCACGCGGGTGCAGGTTCCCAAAGCTTTGGGCCGTCCTCGACTGCTTTCCCGGGCCACAGGCAGGGAGCTGGAAGGGAAGCAGGGCTGCCGGGATTAGAACCGGCGCCCATATGGGATCCCGGGCGTGCAAGGCGAGGACCTTAACCACTTGCGCCACAGCGCCGGGCCCTACTGCCTTGTATTTTTGAGTGACAAATAGTTTAGAATGCTTCCAGAGATTATTCTGTGGTAGCTGGCTCCATAAATATCAGGATAAAAAATTAAGATTCCCACTCCATCTTTTGTTTTCCCCTGTCTTACTAAAGTTGGTCTTGAAAACGAGTGGATGTGTTTTAATCCAGTTGTACAGCACTGCTTGAGGCTTTGATGGGGGTGGAACCACTATCTTTTGATCAGGTCTGGCTCCTACAGCAATTTCAGTGCCTACTGTGACCTGCACCATGAGTTCCTGACAGTGAGGCATTCACTCTCCTTTCAGAAAGCAAAACATGATCTGGGGCTCCTTTCCCTTTCGAGACTCTAGAAGTAGAGCCTTCACCACATTCTGACCTGGCATTCACTATTGTTATAGGGCACCTTTAAAAAAAGATTTCCCTTTGGCCGGGCACAGTAGTGTAGCAGCTAAAGTCCTCCTGTTGCACATGCCAAGACTCCATAGAGGCGCTGGTTCTAATCCCAGCTGCTCCGCTTCCCATCCAGCTCCCTGCTTGTGATCTGGGAAAGCAGTCAAGGACGGCCCAAAGCCTTGGGAACCTGCACCCACATGGGAGACCTGGAAGAAGCTCCTGCTTCGAAGTGGCTCAGCTACGGCCATTGCAACCACTTGGGGAGTGAATCAATGGACAGAAGGTCTTCCTCTCTGTCTCTCCTCCACTCTGACATTCCAATAAATTAAAAAAAAAAAAACATATATATATGTATGTATATATATATATATATACCTTTTCCATTTCAGGAAGAGGTGGAAGTTTATTTAAGCTCTTGGTTGCAGCATGATTCCTCAAGGTTTGGGGGGTTTGTGGGTTTGTTATTTTTGTTTTGTTGTTTTCGCTTTCTTTTGCTATTTCCCTCTTTGGCAGAGAACTCTCCCACAGACAACCATTTAACAAAGCTTTTCATATGTGGTGACCCACTTTCTCTAATGACTTCAAAACTGATAGGCACACTCAGCTTCAGAGCACTTTCAAACACTAAAGTGATTTCAAATTCACTTGCACAGTTGAAATCATACATTTATTTATTTTGTTTCCAAACTGATTCTTCTGAAGTAAGTTTGCTCTGAGCGCCTACGGGCTTTCACTGCAGCATTATTCCTGGCAGCCTGTTGAGTCTTTACCAAAAAATTCATTATTTTCAGGCCCAGCACAATAACCTAGTATCTAAATCCTCACCTTGAACACACGGGGATCCCATATGGGTGCCAGTTCCTATCCAACTACTCCACTTCCCACCCAGCTCCCTGCCTGTGGCCTGGGAAAGCAGCAGAAAATGGCCAAAGCCTCGGACCCTGCACCCGCATGGGAGACCCAGGAGAAGTTCCTAGTTCCTGGTTTCAGACGAACTCAGCTCCAGCCGTTGTGGCCACTTGGGGAGTGAACCAGTGGATAGAAGATTTTTGTCTGTCTCTCCTTCTCTGTAAAATTGGCCTTGCCAATAAAAATAAATTTGAAAAAAAGATAATTAGGGATAAAACACCTTACCTGAGGCTTCACACAAACTACAAAAACTCCTCCTTTCTCTTTGCAAGGATATTGAACAGAATTTTTAAATTATTCTGTCAGTGACAAAGAAGTTCCATCTCTGTCACACTCATGGATCACATAGCAGGAGCTGCGTCCTTTCTCCAGAGCATCATTCAGGTCTGAGCCATGTGACACATGCCAGCCCCACAAGCAGTACAACCTGCCTCTCCTAGCTGTTTAAGGACTCAATTTGGTAACTTTAAAATCCTGAATCAAGATTAAGAATCTTTCTTAAATCTAAAAAGTTATATTACCCTTGTCCCTTGGCATCAGTGCCCCTCTTGTCTGTAACTAAGCCAGGAGCCCCCAGGTTCCGGTTTCTGGCACTACGCACCCCAACACCCCACTGCACCTCTGTATGACATTTCACGTACCCACCCCAATGGGGGGCATTCAGTTTGTTTACCCCTTTGGCTATTAGGAATAGTGCAGCAAGAAAATCCTTCTGAAAGTACCTATTTGGACATGAGTTTTCTCTTTCGTTTTTTAAGATTTTTTTATAGGAGGAGTTACAGAAAGAGATCCAGAGCTCTTTTCCATCTTTGGTTTGCTCCCCACTGGCTTCAGCCACCAGAGTTTGCCAGTCTGAAGACAGGAGCCAGAAGCATCTTCTGAGTTTCCCACATGAGTATAGGGACCCAAGAGCCTGAGCCATTATCTGCTGCTTTGACAGGCCATAAGCAGGGAGATGGATCACAAGTGGAATAGCCAGGACACGAACTGGCACTCATATGGGATGCCAGCACCTCAGAGGGCCCAGTAAGAAGAGTTATCTCATGACAGTTTGTTTCCATCTGCATTTCCTTGGTGACAGATCATCTGAGCATCTGCTAATGTGCTTGCTGGGATCTGTGCTTGCAATTCTGACATCTTATTTTGTTCATTGATTGAGACCATGAAAGTTCTTGATGCTTTCTAGACTGCAGCACACATCATCTGCTCAAGGAAGGCTCAGAAATGATTCCCAGTCCTCGTAATTCTGCTCTGATTATACCTGCCTTCTAGAAAGCTCACAGTCGCCTTACCTCCCCTGACACTGCAGCAGTAACGTGCCCAAGTACAGGGCTGGACATGGGTTCTGGGCGTAGCTGCTGGCTCACCACTAGAGGGCGATGCTATCCCAAGCATGTGCACTGAGGGTGAGAGGCTCTGCACCTGTTACTCTTACCAACTTTCGTTAACACAAATGCACCAACACACATACAGCACATGACACACATGCATGGCTCATGCCACTCAATTCATCAAACACAAAACATGCTAGCACATGGTTGGACAATAACAAATATTATCATGATTCAACTTCTTGTGAGGCAATAGAGATAAAATCAAAGATAAAATGCATAGCAGAATGCAAATAAGTACTGCTTACCACTTTTCCTCTGAATGTGTCTTTTCCCAGCTTCCCTGAAAGCAACCACAGCTCTGAAAAAAGCTCGGAGAACTGCCCACCGGAAAACAGCAACAGGATCAATTCCAATCATCCCAGAGATGAAGGCATTCTTGCTGCTCCTCAAAAGAGCTACAATGTCTGGGCGCATGTGATCTGTGTTTTTCTCCCGAAAATCCTGCATGAAAATGTACCAGCGTTATTTTTAGAAAAGCCATTATTTTGAAAAGATGACAGATGATATTTTTGAAACACCGGAACTCAGGGAAAGCACAATACACTACACAAGAACTGACAATGATTTACTTAAGATGTATTAATTTGCTTGAAAGGCAGAGAGAGAAAGAGAGCTCATGAGAGAGCTTCCATCTGCTTGTTCACTCTCCAAATGCCTGCAACAGCCACGGATGATGGGTGAGGCCAAGGCCAGAGAACGCCACCCAGCTCCATGCCACATGGGCTGCAGGGCCCCCAGAGCTGTGGTCATCGTCAGCTGTCTCTCAGGCATCTCAGGAGGAACCGGGAGCAGAAATGGGCACCGGGAATGGCATGATGCCTTGCAATCACTGGGATTCCGTGTGGGCGATGGTTCATGTCCCGGCTGTTCCACTTCCCATCCAGCTCCCTGCTTGTGATCTGGGAAAGCAGTCAAGGATGGCCCAGAGCCTTGGGACCCTGTGCCTGCACGGGAGACCCAGAAGAAGCCCCAGGCTCCTGGTTTCACACTGGCTCAGCCCCAGCCATTGTAGTCACTTAAAACAAATGAACCAGTGGACAGAAGATCATTCTCTATCTCCTCCTTTCCGTAAATCTGCCCTTCCAATAAAAATAAAGAAATCCAAAAAAATTATACAAAACTCTTCTGAATAACCCAATTAAGAATTTCAAGTAAAAAAAAAATCAGAGCTTAAAGAGCCTACTTTAGTTTTAGTAAATTATTAAAATCATGACCTTTAAAACTGATGTTAATGAAGACACAGCATTATCACAACTGATAGAATTTAGTCAATGCAATAATCAGAGGGAAGATTATCACTTTAAACACACACACTACAAACAAGGCAGGTTAAAGATTGGCCATCGTGGCATCCGGGGAATGAGCCAAAGAGCTCTCTATCCTTCTCTCTGTAAACCTGACTTTCCGATAAAACTAAATCTTAAAAAAAAAAAAAAAGTTGAACTCCTTAAACGTGACACAGAAGCCCTGAAGAATGAACCTAATATCATCTAAATTAATTTTATGTCATCTCCTTCATTAATTCATATAATCTAGTAACACTGTCTTGTTTGTAACTCAACAAGCCAATCTCTTTTCTATTACCATCATTCATTCACCTCATCAGGTCATCTCTCTGAATTTAAGTTTGTCAGATTGGTGCTCATAGATCCACAAATTAAGAAGCAACTAGTTCACTCTCTAATGGAAGTCAATGCATTCCTAACAGAATACAGGACACAGCTCACGCACACACCCTGTAGGATGAATACATGCATAAGAACTCAAGACCTGTCTAGTTTATCCTTAGCATATTACAAACACCAAGCAGAGACAAGGACACACAGTGAGTCTCCAACACTTCCCGAGTCCATCAGTGTGTGGATCAATAAATAACCTAAAATAAGAAACACCTCCAGATCCAGAAGCTATTTCTCTGCTACTGCTAGATCATCACTGTGTTGCCTGGGAAACTAGGCTCAGAGGGCAGGCTTCAGAAGCAAGTGTTAGAAGAGTAACAGAATCAGCAGTCCCAGAGCAGACATGGAGACGGTCATGACATTGTCCCTTCCTAGAAGCAGATCCTTGAGCAGTGTAAACGCACAGACACGTAAGGGCATCTGATGGCATGAAGGCTTTGTTACACCTTATGGATGGAGAGAGGCCATGATGTGCTAAGTCATGGGGATGAAGGAACTGGTATGATAAATACTACTCTTTCCCTATTACTAGAATGGACTGACATCAGAGCTATCTGCATAAGCAAACCAGCAGAAACATTATCTGAGAAAAACACTGTATTTTAGAAAAGCTAAATTGGAATTTCCATGATATTGTCAGATGTTTCCAAAGGGTGCTTACCAAACGCTGTCAGCACATTAGACTTCAAGAGACAGAAAGCATCCCTAGCGAGAAATGTACTGACCTTTACCCCATATTTTACTTTCCCAGCATAATGTTTAATGATGAAAGCAGGCTCCATCACTGCCGGAAATTCAATGTAAGGATCGTCTTCATGCTGACGCTTAAACTTGTCTAGCAATGTTTGATTTGTAGCCTGTGGAAAGCTGAATTCAAAAAATAAAATAAAATAAAAATAAAAAAATACAAAAAAGACATAGCAGTTAGCACAATGTTTCCAAAACTACATTAAAGTGAGTGACATTTAACATATTTTTCATCACATCTAGTTCCAATTAGCTAAAGTGTCAGTATAAAAGGTATTCCTTGAGAAACGAGGGCTCTTCAGCTGTGATCTGTCCACCTGCATGCTGTGCAGGCAGCTATGCTAAGACAATGATTAAACTCGATACAGAGCTTAGGGGGCACTGTGCCATAATACACAAACCGAATCTAATCATGCAGTCAACTTTCAAAAGATCAAATATTCTCTCAATGTGTACAAGTCCTTAAAATCTATAGTCATTCTTTGTTTTGCTATCTCTCCATGCAGAAGTATCAATTTTCTTAAGTACAGCAATAACTGCATATATTCCCTCATATTACTTCAAACATGCATCTGTCCACCCACCATCACTGACTTAAGCATTTCACATCCAAGAATCCTAACACAACAAGCAAAAGCAGGATGAAATGTACAACAGGAAAACAAACATCAGAGAAAGGAGAGGGGAGAATGCCTGTGCAGGAGGGTAGCAAATCTACCCAACGCTACGTCATTGTCCGACGGTGGAGCAGAGGTTCAAGGCCCAGCTCCAGCTCCTCACTTCACCCAGCGCAGACCCTGGCAGGCAGCAGCAAGCGCCCAGCCAGCTCTGTTCTTGCAACTTGGATGAGAGACGGAGTAAGTTTGCGGCTTCTGGCTCGGGCCCTGGCTTCCAGTGCTGAAGGGACATGCAGGGTGAGCTACCAGACAGGATGGGTGGATAAATGCATACCTATGCAGGTACATATGCACAGCGCCCCCTGCCTTTCAAATAAACTCTTACAAGTAATTTTTTTAATCGCTAATGGTTAGAAATAATGAAAAAGTTCACAGAGAACTAAGAGGCAATTACGACCTAGATTTCAGGCTGGGTGGTGGTTTCAGATGTAAGAAATGCCACTGATAAAGAGAAAGGGGGTAGCACTGTGGTTTCACAGAATAAGCAATCGCCTGCAGTGCCAGTATTCCATATGGGCACCGGTTCGATTAACCTCCTGCTAACAGGCTTTGACCTGGCCCAGCCTCAGCTGTTATGAAAATCTGGGGAGTGAACCAGGAAAGAGGAGATCTTTCTCTCTGTATCTCCCTCTCTTTAAGTCTGCCTTACAAATAAATAAATATAGCATCTGCTAAAGAAAAAAAAATATATACCTTTCAGAAAACAGTTTAACAGTAGCAACAACAAGAAATAACATAGCAAGAGATTGGAAAGATGCTGAACATCAAACAGAATGTGTAAAGATGCCTGCAAGTTTACAATAGCTAGTTAAGGAATGGAGATTGGTGTCAGTCAGAGGTTAGATCCCCAGAGAACACCCACAAGCTACTTAACTTTACAGAACTGTTTTTCTAATCCATATATAGTGAATACCATACCATGTAACACAGTACTAGCAAAAATAAACAATGTAGTACAAATATACTGATAATACATCGCATCCTACATGAACTATATCATCAATTTTTGGTAATTTACTTTTATTGAAAAGTCAGATTTACAGAGAGAAAGGGAGACAGAAAGATCTGTCTGCTAATTCAATCCCCAAGTGGCCACAACAGCCACAGCTGCGCCGATCCAAACCAGGAGCCGGGAGTTTCCTCTATCTCTCCCATGTGGTGCAGGGTCCCAAAGCTTTGGGCCGTTCTTTTGGGCCTACTTTCCTAGGCCACAGGCAGGAAGCCAGCTGGTCACTAACACTATTATTTTCCTAATACCTAACCTTATTTTTACATTGGAAAAACTTTTCCCTTCCTAAGTAACTCCACAAAACTCTCACTCCCAGACTATAATGTTGTTTTAAAACATTATTATTTAGATAATAACATCTGCAATTTTTTATGAGATCACATTTATTTATTTGAAAGGCAGAGTGACAGTGAGAAAAAAATTACAGATTTTTTTATCTTCTGGTTAAGTCCCCAGATGGCATCCACAGCTGGGAACGAGGCCAGGCCAAGATCAGGACCCAGGAAATGCATATGGGTCTCCAATATTGGTGACAAATACCTAAGAAGTGTTCCCTCCTAGGTACATGATCAGGAAGCTGAATCAGAAGCACATAGTGGGGGACTAAAACCAGCACTGACAGACCAGGGAGGCACACCAAGTGGCACTGACAGACCAGGGAGGCACACTGAGTGGCAGTATGATGCGCAATACCACAACACACATTAAGCCCTTGCAATTTCATGCAAAGATTACGGCAACGGTCACTATAAGTTTCACCAATTCCAATCTTACATTTTTTATTGAAATGTACTTTCCTTCAGTAGTGCTTCAACTAAGTGCCTCTCCTACTGAGAAAACCCACAGATCACCAAGGCACAGAGCCAAGGTCAAGCCAACATCTGCAAGCTCGTCACAATTCCAATGCAGAATGCTGCACACTTCAGACAGGATGCTCTTCCCCTTGGATCCAGGGTTATCGGCCTTCTAGCTCTCTAACAGAATAGCTTGTATTTTTCTGTCACTTTTAAGTGGAGAACTTCCAAAAGCAGGACAAACATGAGAACAGGATTTTATTCCAAAGCAGAAAAGATGAAAAGGGAATTTCTTGACAGGTCCTGTATCCAACAGATATCTGGTTATCCACCACTTTATCAGGCACAAGAGCTTGGGACACAGGGCAGTCAGGCATCATCACTGCTCACACCAAAGCTCTAACCAAAGTCCCTTCAAGGCTGTCTTCAACAGGAGTGGGAAACGAACAATGTCTATAGCCCACCTACTATGTGTCTAGATTAACTCATCAGGGTAGTGGTAAGCATCAACAGGATACAAAGGACTGACTTAAGTGAACATTCTCATCAAAACTTCAGTCTTTGTTTACATATAGATTCTGATCCAACAAGTCTGGGATGGAAGCCAGGTGACACCCTGAGCAGTCCAGAGAACAGTCACTCCCAGCATCCTTCTCCAGGGCAGTTCTGAGACTCGACTGACACTATTCCTTGCCCACTAAGTATCACTGTTCATCCTGCAAACTACAGCTAAAGCTGCCTGACATCACACATGTAGTAAGAGAAAAGATGAACCAAGACTTCCCACACTAAACCTGTAATCCTGGAACACTACAAATTCACAACCCAAGGAGAAACACAACTCAGAATTTCTTTCTTAATACACATTCCATTCAGGACAAAGTATTTTAGTTTATACCTTCCGCTCCCTAAAGATGACTACTTTATTTTCAACGTTTTACAGGAAAATAAAAAGGCAAACATTTCACACCTTTCCCTCTTCTGGAATGTCGACTCATTCAGCATGAAGGAGTTCAGGAACCACCACCCAAACTCCACTTCAGTTTGGACTAAAGGCACTTCAGAAACTGCAAGTGCAGACAGGACTGGCTGCTAGGTTCACTTCTTTTCAAAAATCAGAACAAAGAATTCTAAAGGGAAGTTCCATGGGGAATAAATCCCTATTCTGAAGAAATAAAACTTGATGGTTACAAAGATCTATACAAATTGGCCAAAACAATCTTTATCTTCCACTAGCTTTTCCAAGTATATTTCTGTTACTTCATCACAAATTAATGTGCTCATCCCAAACCCATAGTCTTCTCAGTGCTTCATAAATTTTTCATTTGCTGATCTAAAAAATTTGTTGGATTTCTGAGCTGGTTGTTTCCTCAGGTCTCTATTTTCATTACAGAATTCCTATGTACAGCCAATGGACATTGAAAGGGTGCCCTCCTCCTTTGATCGGCAACATCAACATTTCAGAACTACTGAAACCACCTGGGCAGAACCCTCAAGTACGTGACGCACTGGGACCCTGGCTTCATATCACGTAGCCATTCTCCATCCTGAGGTACTGGAATGGTTGGGAGACTGCGTATGGTACAGTTTGCAAACACATTAACACACGTTGCAGACTGGGACCAGCACGTAGCACAGCAAGGTAAGCTGCCACTTTTGATGCCAGCATTTCACATCAGAGTCCCAGTTCAAGTCCCAGCTCCTTTGCTTCTGAAATGCACCAGGGAAGGCAGATACCGGCCCAACCTTGGGCCCTTGTCATCCAAGTGGAGACCAACCTAGAATTCTTGGCACCTGACTGTTGCAGCAACTTGTGAGACAAAGCAGCAGTTAAACAGACACACCTAAGCCCTGTCTCTCTTCATCTGCCATCTGCATTTCAGATAAATAACTCTTATTAAAAACACATAAAACACACAGCATTTATCATCATTTTAATTTTTTTATGCCAAAAAAAAAAAAAAACTGTAAAGGCTGGCAGAGGGCAGTCCATAGAGATGGATAAAACCCATTACTTCTAACCTAAAAATGCAAGCATTACAGGAAAACAATGTAAGTGTAATACAACACTCACAAGTAGTAAGTTCAAGCATATTGGCTGGAAGTACACAGAAAGCATATATCTCAGGTTTGTCATTTACTACTTGTTTGATCCTTGGCATAAATTACTAAAAATATTTGCTTTTCCTATTATAAAAATATCTCAAACACAAAACAAAGGCTTATCATTAAATTGGTAATCACAATGGTTTCAAAACCAACAACAAAATTCCCAAGGACTTTAAAACTTTGCCAAATACAGACACACTAGAAGTGATGTATGCCAACCAAGTTTAAAAATAACTACTGGGCCTGGCACAATAGTTTAATGGTTAAGGACCTCGCCTTGAACGCGCTGGAATCCCATATAGGCACAGGTTCTAATCCCGGCTGTTCCACTTCCCATCCTGCTCCCTACTTGTAGCCTGGGAAAGCAATCGAGGACGGCCCAAAGCCTTGGGACCATGCACCCATGTGGGAGACCTAGAGCAAGTTTCTGGCTCCCAGCTTCAGATCAGTGCAGCACCAGTCATTGCGCTCACTTGGGGAATGAATCATCGGATGGAGGATCTTCCTTTCTGTCTCTCCTCCTCTCTTGTATATTTGACTGTCCAATAAAAATAAATTTTTAAAAAATAAAAATTTTAAAAACTCAATTCAAGAATAAAGGGACATACATCATAAAATAAATAGATATCAGGGTCAGCGCCGTGGCACAGTGGGTAAAGCCACCACCCAAGACACCTACATCGCATTGGGCACTTGTTAGTATACTGAGTGCTCCACTTCTGATCCAACTCCTGTTAAAGGGCTGGGAAAAACAGGGGAAGATGGCCCAAGCGTTTGGGCCCTGGACACATAAGAGAGATCTGGATGAAGCTCCTTGAGCCTGACTTCAGCTTGGTCCAGCCCTGGCCTTTATGGTCATTTAGGGAGTGAACCAGCAGATGGAAGATCTCTCTCTCTTTTTCTCTCTTTCTGCTTTTCAAATAAATAAAATAAAAATCTTGAAAAAATAACAAGAAAGTTTCAACTTAAGATAACCTGAAGAGCCCAATCATCTAGTTAGAGTGTCAGAAACAATCATACTTACTTGCTTTCTTCATCCAAAAGATAGAGCAGTCCTGTTGGTTTTTTGCTAATGAGATTTATGCAACAGCTATTATCAATATAATCTATATTATGCCAGCTGATGCCTTCCATTCTGTACTCCTCCTAGAAGAACAAAATAACACAATAACGATTTATTCATCTTGCATAAAATATTACATATGCAATAAGAAGGATTTTTAAAAAGCTTTTAACAGCCATAAAAGAATGATCTAACATTTTAAAAAACATTTTTAGCATATTTATTTGAGACAGATACACAAATAGTGAGCTTGCTGCTTCATTCTCCAAATACCTGCACCTAGAATCGGGCGGCCAGAGCATAGGACAGCACCCCAGCATCCCATATGAGAGGAAGGAACCTAAAACTAGGCAGATATGCCTAGGCAGATAGGCAAAACCCTATCCCCAATGACCACACTAGAAGGATTTATGATTTCAACTAAACTCTTGGTACAATGTACATGAGTTTTACTTAAAAAGTGCATATAACTGGGCCCAGCGCAGTAGCTTAGCACCTAATGTCCTTGCCTTACAAGGCAGACTCGCTTCCCATCCAGTTCCCTGTTTGTGAACTGGGAAAGCAGTGGAGGATGGCCCAAGGACTTGGGACCCTGCACCTGAATGGGAGACCCAGGAGAGGCTCCTGGCTCCAGGCTCCCAGCTCCTGGCTTTGGATCAGCACAGCTCCAGTCACTGCGGCCATCTGGGGAATGAGTCAATGGACAAAGGATCTTTCTCCCTATCTCCTACACTCTGTAGATTGACTTTCCAATAAAAATAATTATAGCTTTTTAAAAAGGTGATATAACTGCTTTGTTTATAATTCTTTTTCTGCAGCCATGCCAATCAAAATTGTTGGATTTCTTTTAGTCACATTATCTAATGAAATCACAAAAGAAAAACAGGACAGTATTTGAGGCCAGCACAGTGCTCAACAGGCTAAACGTCTACCTGCAAGTGCCAGCATCACGTTTGTTCACTGGCTCTTGTCCTGGATGCTCTAGTTCCGATCCAGTTCTCTATTTATGACCAGAGGAAGCAGCAGAGGACCCGAAGCCATGTAAGAAGCTCATGGTTCCTCGCTTTGATGGGCTCAGTTCCAGCCATGGTGGCCATTTGGGGAGTGAGTCAGCAGAACAAAGATCTCTGTCTCTTCTCTCTGCATCTCTGCCTTGCTAGTAATAAATAAATATAGGATTGCTCAAAAAAAATACAGCAGTATTTTTTTTTTAAGTCATAAGAAAATGGAGACACAACTTTATTTTGGTGCGAAAACCAATGTAAAGTCTCTAATAACATGAATTTTTCAACAACTTTATGAAAAACCACTCATGTACTGATTTAAAAATTTCTGCACCAAAAGAAAATGATCTTTCAAATCCACTTTTCAGAAACTTTTTGAAATGCATTCATGTATAATGACTGTAAAACATCAACAGGAACTGTGCTTGCTGGATCATCAACAATGATGCAATCTCTAGGAAAAGTGAGAATACCAGGTCCTCCAATGATCCATGGAATAAGTCCATGGAAGTCACATACTCTTTGGCAAAATGAAATCCTAACAATATTTGTTAAAACTAAAAAGACTTCCAAATTTCAAATCTAAAAGACTCAAAAACTCAGGCCTTAAGTAACTACTTCAAGTACCTTTAAGCAGCACTCATTTTTCCAACCTTGTCCTGTGTGCTGGGAAATATTCTCTTATTTAACCATGCAATGGTTTTATTTTTAAACTATTGTTTTCATAAACAGCCTCCTGAGCATGTCAAGGTTGTACGCTAAGGAAGATATCCTGTTTAACTGATAGCTTCAGCATTCACTGATAATACTTGCTGAAATACTTCCTTTTCATTTTTTGCTTACTTATTTACCAATTTTTTCATAATTACACAGCTTCTCATCTTCTAGACAAGATTTACTTCTTGGGTTTGAAAAACAGGTCACTCTGGCTTGACACATTCCATTCTGACAGGTATTTTTTTTTTCTTCACTATTTATATTCTCTTTATTTAGAATTTCAGTACCTCTTATTTATTTGACAGGCAGAAGGACAAACAAGACAGATAGGACCTGTTATTTGCTATTTCACTACCCAAACATCGACCAGAGCCCAGGCCTGTGCAAGGAGGAGACCAAGGGCCAGAAAGTCCAACCACAGGGACACAGTGACTTGAACTCCCTGCTCTAGCAAGGAGCCATAATCAGGAGTCAGAGCTTGGCAACGCACCAAGGCATTCGGTTATGGGACATGAGTGTCCCAACCACTCGCCCAAACGCCTGTCCCTTAACTTGATAACTTTATCATTCTTTATTTTTACTCTGTAAAGCAGAATGGATCCTAGAATAAACTTGTTACCCTAATCAGGAAAAGTAAATGCCTAATGCTTGCCTTTCAATGATGATTTTTAAAGTAAAAAATTGCTATGTAAAGATAATTCTTAAGATAAAAGCTTAACAAATGAAGCTGTCACTAGTAACGCCACCATCCTATGTTTGAGTCATCTTGTACTGAGCACTGGTTTGAGCAGTGCCTGCTCCGCTTCCAATCCAGCTCCCTGCTAATGTGCCTGGGAAGACAACAGAAGAAGGACCAAATGCATGGGTCCCTGCCACACAAGTGGGAAACCAGAATAGTGTTCTGAAGTCCTGGCCAAGGCTGCCCTATTTCTAGCACTTACAGAAGGAATCAGGAAAGGAAAATTACCTCTCTCCTCTCCTACACTCCTTCCTTATCTCTCTGTCATTCATAGAAGTAAATGAAACCATAAAGAAAAGCTATCGAGAAAGGTGCTTTCCCCAGGTCTTCTTTGCAGCATAGATAATAAGCATGATAACCAGCCAGAATGTTAGGATCTGTACAGATAGCAGTGTTAGTCCAACATTCTCTTCCCTCTTCTTCTCAACAGTAATCCAAATCCTTCTTTACACCTATTTTACTGTTCTCTAATCAGAGCCACATAATACATGTTACTTTTTTTTTTTTAACTCAATGTATCTTTGACAGACACATTAGTGTTGCTGGAAGTGCCTAAAGTTCGTTTGTTTACATTGCTGTATGGCAAGAGTTGTGAAACACCACCATCATTTTGTTTTGTCTATGGCTGTTTCCTAGATATAACCACAGAATTGAGATCATACGGCCTTCACATTTTGGTGGGGGGGGGGGGTGAATGATGTTTTCATAGTTGATTAGGGTGAGAAGGATCAAAGGTTAAGCAAAAATGGATGAGACCAGTATCCCAAATTTCCTTTTTCTTCTTCCTGTATCATGGAAATGGGGGAAATAAGGAGAGAAGCTGCACCCAGCCTCCCTACCACCTCAGTAACCAGGGATGGGGAACAGCCACCCGATGTCATCCTAGGGTCCCTAGTGTAGAGCATGCCCCAAGGGTTCTGTTTAAGTGGTTTCTCTAATTCTGAAATGCTGTCAACCTCATCAGTCCAAGGATGAGGAAATCCTTCCAAGGTCCATTAGCAGACACAGTCCAACTTAAGAGTCTCCATTTACCACGATACTTGCTGTCAACACTTGGCTGGGGTAACTGAGCAATTTGCTCTGCCCTCCTTCTGCTGTGATACCAGATGTCCTCTGCAGACCCCAATGGACTGCCATTATCTTCCATGAGCATCTGGGCCGTCCATTGCTCCCTCTTATCCACTGAGGAGGCCCAGTTCTGACACATGCACTCCATGGTCAGACCAAAAATCCTGCATCTCCCCATGGTTTGAGTTCAACTGGGGGGATCCCCACACAAAACTCATCTGATGTGATCCCAGACCTGATTCACATGTGCTTGTCAATATGGGTCTGACTCAGTCCCACCATCCACATCAGTCTACACACACAAAAGTAGTTGCAACTGCTGGGTCCATTCTATTTCCAACCCCATCTCTTATTAAATAATGGATATTATGGCCCAACCCAACCCTGCCCATCACAAATTTGGCCCTCACAAACATCTGAAGGATCTGCAGCCTAGTCAAGGACTCCCAACAACCCCCCACTGGGCACACACCATGCCTTGGTTCTTACTGCTTGTCAGTATGTACAGCAGACTGGTCCAGTCTGTCCCACATCCCATTCAGCTCTCACATATCAATGTGAGTTGAAGCCTAGTTCAACCCAACCAACCCCACTATCCAGTCCATACTCAGGCTGGCAGGTGACACCACCTATCTAGCCAGGCCTGCCCCCAGCTCCGGTTCTCGTATTTACAAGTGAGAGTTGCAGTCCATCAGAGAGGTACCTATCATTCCCTTACTTGACCTACTCCCAGATCTTGTACTCTCCAGAAGGTTTTGCAATCTAACTTGACAAGATCTGTCCCCATTCCTAGTACTTGCCACCTGATGCTGCAGCAAAACCCAATCAGCCTGCTCTTACTCTGGCTTATGCATGCACTAGTGGGTACAGTTGGTTAGCCCAGCCTGGCTCTCCCCCTAACCCAGATTACATGCATCCAACCAGCATTGCAGCCCTGCAGGTCTTATCTGCCCCAAGTCCTAGTTCTCACACTTACCAGCAGGAGCAGTGGCCCAGCAGGGAAGCCCCACTATCCCCTTCCACAAGGTTCCCACCCCAACCCAGAGTTTCACATGTGCTGGTGGGTGCTGCAACCTAGTACTGCCCAGTCTGCCCCCATCCCTGGCTCATGCAAAATGGTAGGTTGATAACCTGGGCTGGCATGACCCACACTCAAGCCTGGCTCTTGCACATGACAATGGGCTAAGGTTTGTTCCAGCCCTGCCCAGCTGTCCCCTCCAGAACCAACCCACATATTTTCCGAACGGTGGAGCTACCTTGCCTTCCTTGACCAACACCCAGGCCTGAATCACGTGCTCACCAGCAAGAGTTACGGCCCACCAGGGGCATTTTTTAAGGTCCCCCCCAGACCCAGATCTCACACATTCCAGTAGGAAGCTAGGACCTTACCAAGTTGTAGTCTGCCCCCTCCGTCAGCCTTTGTATGAGCTGGTGGATGTTGTGGTCTCGCCTATCCCAGTCCTGTTCTTGGGTATGCCTATGGGTGCTGCAGCCTGGACCAGCCTGCCTATTTGCAGCCCCAGTACCCATGAGTGTTCCAGGGGTCCATGGTCAT